TGTGTTGTGACTGGTCCGGACAGTGCCCCCAAGAAACCAACCGGCAACTGAGGACTCAGACAACGGAGCGAGCGAGAGAAAAGTGGCACCTACTTAGCGTGCACGGTGGTCTCCTCATGGTTCTGACCCCTCCACACAGCTGACAGGGGCCGCCCAGAGACCCACAGCCCTGGTTCTAATGAGCAGGATGTCAGAGAGAAAACAGATGTTCTCGCAAGAGCAGCTGTCCCCCGGGCGCCCTGGGGAAAAGAGGGACCCAGTGTCGAGCAAAAATTCCCTTTGGTGAGCAGAATGGCCAGCAATGGAAAACGTGGGGGCCAAGTCTCATGGCAACGCACGTCACATCTAAAATGAAACGCAACCCTGGTGCCCCACAAGCCAGTGTGGTGGTGGAAGGTGTGCAGGCAAGACCCAGCAATGAAGCCAAGAACAGCAGCGATCGGTGTGGTCGTTGAGACCATCGATCAAGTGCTCATGGGCTGGGCACAGTGCCAGGTATATTTACAGGTCTCAGTCTTCATCCTGAAGTAAGGGTCAAAAACTCACTAAGGGATCAACGCCACCTTTCTGGATATCACATTTTGGCCAAGGGAAGACACAGGGATAGCTGATGGGCCATTATGTCTCACAGGCGAGGCTTAACACTTGAGGCTTGACCAGGAGGCTTGACCAGCTCCCAGTTTCTGCTCTGTTGCTCTGATCACTGAGCGATGTGTGTAGAAATCCAACCACAGAACAAGGGCACCCAAGAGAGTAAGTCACCCTTCTCAGTTTCCCTGGGCTAATTTCTCCAAAACACCACTGAAGGATGATGTCAGAGCCTAGAGAGGATGATGCATAAAGTCAAAGCTGTAAAAAAAAGCTGTAAAAGCTGGCGGAGAAACATCTTCAAACACGCATTAGAAGGTAGTCAAAGAAATAACCAGTGTGCACAGATGCAGGTCTGCGCCATTGACGAACCTCTCCTTCACAGAAACACAATAGAAGCAGAACTGTTTCACAATGCTAATAGACAGGAGCGGCAGCCTGGCTTCGGGTTATAATGCCGATCTGTATGTCTGGGAGGATGTAAACAGATGCCACGGCGCCCCTGTACTAACAGGACTCCCACTGTATACACCGAAGACACATCATCCCGGCAAGTCAATCACGGTGTCAGGAACAGGGAAGAAGGTAGCCCTACCACAGCTACTTCCAAAAGAAGCAAACCCAGCCACCATTGGAAAAGGTCTCTGGGTCCTGAACCCTTAAGTCATCGCAGACCAAACTGGGAACTGAACCTAAAAATGACAGGCCTAGAATTTTAGAAACATTTCCTTGCCACAGAACCAGCAGAGCCTGCAAATGAGCTTTAAAACCAACAAAAAAGTTTCTGTTTCAAAATGACATTTTAGAGGTAATGTATAATTGCTTCCTCTCTGTTCGATGCTCCCCCCCCCTTCGCCCCCGCCGCCTTTTTCTCATTCTCCATTCACTAATGAGAGAGTTTTCCTCTTCCCCTGCCTGTTTCAGTTTGAAACGTGGCACTGAACAGGCCACTGGAAAGCAAAGGGAAAGGGGAGGGGAAGGCTGCTTTCAGGTCTGACGCACGCACACACCCCCCAGCTGGCGGCCCACACCCCGAAGGAGGGTCAGGCCGACTCCACCGCAGCCAGGACTGAAGACCCAAGCCGCTGGGTAGAAAACTCCCACTTGCACCAACTCCCCCGAAAGCAGAGTTAAGAAAGAGAAAGCTAGAAGGGAAGGAGGGGGAAAAAAATAAAGCTCCACATTCCTGACATTTTTTAGCCAAGTGCTTGTGGCTACACAGAACAGCTCTATTCCAAACAGCCTTGCGGAATGGAAAGAAAACCTGGGTGCAGGGCGAAGAACCTGCCCTCTGCCTTGGAAATGGGAGACGGAATTTTAGGACGACCCAAAACTAAACCAGAAGGGAGGAGGGAGGGGCACTTTCATGTGTGTTCCCCAAAGGCAGTGATCCCCAGGGAGGAAATTTGGAGTCAGCCTCTCCCAGAGGATAGAACTGAAGTCCTAGGGTCCCCCGAAATGCTGGAGAGCTGAGGGTGAGTTGGGGAAGGGTAAGGCACAGGTGAGATGGAGACCAGTCAGGATGCCAGGGCTGCAGTGGCCTGGGGTGGGGGCAGAGGGGTCCAGCTCATAGGCAGGGGCTGGGCGGGGGACCCCGAGGGAGGAGTGGCCAGGAGAGTCACTCTTTGTGGCAAGAATCCTAAATGGGTTTTCCTGACTCAGCTTCTGAATGAAGGAACTCTAGCCCTGCCCAAATTAGAAACCCAAGAGCCTGACGTCCTCTCTCCCTGTGTCCCCCTTCCCTTGCCACCTCCTTCTATTCTCACTTCTAGGAAAAAGCTTGTTAAGGGCTGGACTGCCCCCCCTCCCACATGCATCCCTACATATACACCACATCTCCAGGGGAGAACCCAGAAGACCCTTAAGTAGATGTATCCAGTAAGTCCTGTGCTGGCTTATGAGGAGCCACCCCTGGCTTTACCCCAAATGTGAAGCCCACATGTGTCTCTCTGAGGTCCCTAGGACCAACCGAGTTATTTCTGCTCTTTTGGTACGGAGAGCAGAGCTCCAAAAACCTGACTCTCTCTCCTACCTCCTCAGAGTCAGTTGTCAGGCATAGACAAAAAGGACCTATGTGCCGAACACAGCAGAACACGTGTCCTTCAGAAGGGAGGTTTGGGCATGGCCCTCTCTCTCACATACCAGCATACACCGACAATCCCACAATGTACCTCCGAGGCCCCTTCTAGAAAAGGTGCTCTGCCCTGTAAGCCCAACCGTTGCAGGTATAAGCTTCTGCAGATAGAGGGTGGCGGGAAGAGGGAGTCAGTCTGCAGGGCATTTCGGCAAGGGCCCTTTCCACATTCCCCCAGCCAATCCCAAGACGGGGAACCGGGGAAGGCATTTTTGTTATTTCCTCCATCCTGGACCTTCCTCTTCTGTCAGGGAGTGGGAGTAAGGGCTCCTAGCACTTTTCAACTCCCACAAAGTCCCAGGTTTCATGCAAAGGACTTTCCACAAGGCTGAAGGCAGGAGAGGGAAGGAGGTACAGAGCTCAAACCCTAAGCAGCTCTTTGAAGCAACGATAAAACCCACAGAGCCACGAGCCTTAGCAACTGCCCGGAACGCAGCAGAGAGGCACAAGGCTATGCGAGAGACCCGCGGCTAAAGAGAGTGTGCCTATGAGGTCTACAGCGGTCACGTGTGTCTGTCCAACCACACCCTCCAAGACTGGTGACAAGGCATTGGGAGGCCTCTTAGAACGGAGGACAGCAAATAGATACTGAGGGTATGGGCTGCACAAAACAAAATTCTTATTTCATTAAAGCTAGTACTATGATCAATAGTAACGGGGCTTCGGCAACAAGCGACGCGTTTTCACATTTGTGGAATCCGTTCTGGCTCTTACTGCTTACATGATCTCAGTTGAACCTTCCAATAACCTTGTGAGGAAGACAGGTTTTACTAACCTCTTTAGCCAAGGGGAAACTGAGGCTGCAGTCAATTTTTCAGTCCGGACTAGTGACAGGGCAGAGACGGGGACCCAGGGACGGCCCTGGCTTGACAAAGTCAGGGTGAATATGCCATGAGAGCTGTGGGGGTGGGGGAAGGAAGGAGGGAGGGACTGAAAGGCAGGAGCCCTAGCAAAAGCTGGAGTGCAGACCCCAATCCTGGTCCCAGGTTTATTTCCTACAGACCCCGAAGGCCAGCCAAGGACGCATTCACACATCCAACCCTGACTCACCACCACGAAAATGTCCCCAGCCTGAGGGCCACTTCAGGCCCAAATAGAACCCTTGTCATCCACAGAGGGGACACAAGGAACCCAGAGAGAGAGGGACACTGAAGGAGAAATTAGCCACACTAGGAATCCTTCTTCTCCAAGGCCGTTTATAAATGGTTACAGCTTCCTAACCCATCCCTGAGAATGCAGATAAGCAACACTACCCAGCAGGGAGGACCAGGCACGCCTCAAAGGAGAGTGAGTGAGAGTGAGGGGAGTGTCACTCACCAATCTCACTCTTGAGACAAGATATACCAGAGTAAGCCCTATACTCACTTTCTTCCAGTTCTTCCCACTTTGGATATCACGTTTTTCTCCCTCTCCCGAGCACTCAGTCATTCCCTTGGATTCTGACCCCCAGCAGGCTTACTAAAACTCTGCTTGGTGAGGCCTACACCACGGCACTGCTGTCCGTGGTCGGACCCCATCCTCTCCACCCCCTGTCCCCCACAGCTCTGAGAGAATCATCTTTCCCCTAAAAGCAGAGAATATCCCTGTTCCTCTCCTTGCCCCTGTAACAGGGGAGAAGCTCTGGCTCCACCACAGATGGATCTAAAGGGACAGTCCTCAGGGTAATAAAGGGTATATGAAACCTGGCCTTTTCGGCAAGGGCAAAAAAAAGGGGGGGGCGGGGAGGATGGCAGAAGGGCACTGCTGGGACAGGGTCAGGGCCACACGTGAACACCCTGAGCACCTTCCAGAGGTGAGGATGCATGAGACCTGGAAAACCAGGTGGGACGTGGAAAAGAGTCAGGGTCCCTCCCGCTGGAAAAGCCCAGAGGAGCTGGCAGCCACCGCTTGGGAGGGGGAATTGTGCAATGACCGCGGGTCTGGGAGTCTCCGGGCTTGCCTCCCGGACACCAGAAAGGAAACCCCACTGGTTGGGCCAGGGTGGCAGCGCTGCGGTTGGTTCGAGGCCAGGCTTAGGATCCAGGGCTGCAGAGAGCGCTGCAGGATAGTGTGGGTGCTCAAGGGGGCGGCAGAGCAGGGCAAGGCTGGCGCGGCCGCAGAGCTGAGGGGTGGCGTCCGGGATGACCAGGAGGCCAAGGGGGCGCAGAGTGCACAAAGCCGGGGTGCAGAGAGCGTACATGGCAGCCAGGCGCCCTGGCTCGGACGAGGACCCGCAGGACCTGCAGGGCTACGTCCCGCGACGCACGAGAGGGGGCACCCCCTCCCCAGTCTCGCTCACCTCGAACATAAGCCCGATGAGGACGCAGAGCACCAAGCAGAAGCCGATGTCCGCATGGTTGTGGATGACGAACTCCTGGCTGAAGAGCGGGTAACTTTTCGTCCTCCTGCGGAAAGCCATGGCAGCGGGCGCGCAGCGGCCGGCGGGGCCAGCACCCTGCGCTCTCGAGCCGCCGCGCAAACTTCTCCAGCCCCGGCCCGGTCCGCCCGC